TGATTTTCTTGCCTCTCCAGAACCCTTGACCCTGGACTGCCTGACTGATTTGCCTCTCTGTAATCCTGGACCTCGGACTGCTTGACTACTCTCTGGTTTGAACCCTTGGCTTGTTACTTTGCTTTGTTTCTACTTTGTGTCTACAGGACTTTGCTTTGCTTTAAACTGCATAAGTTTTGTGAGTAGTTTTCCTTGTTTCTCATTTTGGACAGTGGCTATCAACATTCTTGGTGGCTTTCCCAGACAAGTGGGACCTTGGTATATATAGGGGATCTGCTCCAGACCCCCCCCCCCAAAGATACCAGAAACTGTGGGACCTCACGTTCCATTGTCCCCAGTGGCAGCGTGTGCATGCAGCCACACTGCCATTAGGAACAGCTCTGATTGTCCCCAATGGCAGCATGTGGACAAGGCTGCGCTACCATTAGGGACAATGGGACTTTAGGTAATTCCCCACTGTCCCCAATGGGGACAATGGGGGCTGTTCCTAATGGCACTGCAGCTGCATGCACATGTTGCAATTAGGAACAATGGGGGCTTGCCATCCATGGATGTTTATATCCATAGATGGCAAGCCCATGGATAACGAGGCCCCACTGTATCAGAGACTTGCTGCTAAAGAGGATTTTGTTTTTAAAAAATATTCTTTACAGAACAGATAAAATACCTGTCCTGTCCTCTGCATGTGCTGCATGGAGTGGTTTTACAAGTGGTTGAAGACTAGCAGATAATACAAAATGAGGAACAGTCCACTGAGAAATTAAGTAGAATGGAAGAGACTAATTCTTTCTGAGCTTGGTCAGAGCATCTTTCATTTGTTCTTTCAGAAGTTGTTGTACTTCAATGCACAAAAAGAAAAATACATACCTTTATTGTGACATTACCCTTGGTAACCTTCCGCATGTTGAAGCCCACTGTAGGAATCATATCTTCACTGAACTGACCTGACTGAAAAGAGGAAAACACCACAGTCATTAGCAGGACAATGGAGGATCTCTCATGCACTTAATTAGCCTTTGAACAAGGCTGCTTGTACCGTATTTTCCAGCGTATAAGACGACCCGCGTATAAGACGACCCCCCATTTTTCCAGTCAAAATATAGAGTCTTAGCACCTCTATCCTCATTATCCTTATATCCGGCGTATAAGACAACCCCCCCACTTTAGCCACAGATTTTTCAGGTAAAAAAGTAGTCTTATACGCAGGAAAATAAGGTATTCTTTTCCTTCCAATGTAAGGAATCATGCCTAGAAATTCCAGAGAACATTTAATATGTACGCAGCTAAACCAAGATTTCATGCTGCTTCGTACGGTTATTTTCAGAAGGACAAAGCATACAGTTCAGTTACCCAGTGAGCAAATATCACATGCAAAGCCATGGAAATCATAAAATGGAAGTAGGCAAAGGAGAGAGAAGGAAAGACACACTTGGAAAATAATGAATCATGTGCAATGGTTCTGAAACATCTTGTTTTAATGACAATAGCATGGGAAGAGTTCAAGCTTCCCAGTATTAATCTGGAAGTATGACATTCCTAAAAATAATTTCCATTAGCCAACTGAAGTTACCATCTCATCTTTTGCAAACTAGTTATCAGCTCAAAAAGTACACCTAACTCCCTGGGGCAACAGGATAACATCTGGAAGAACCTGTAGAGCTTATGCACTTCATGGGAAGGTACATTGGTAGCAAATTGCATAATTTCCAGATATTGAACTGGAAAGTCTTCTTTGAGATGTGTGCAAACCTGAAATCTCAAGGGAGTTTTAAAATGAATGCAATACTGCAGCATGAGATGTTGTGTATCATGATACTTCAATACAAAAGGAAGAAATGGTTTTCGAGACCAAAGGTTTATTCACCCCTTCCCACCACATACACAGTATCCATGTACAAGAGAACCCTTAGATGTAGTCCTTTATACACTATTGTTCTTGCAAACCAAGACATCTACTTGTTGAAATTACGGGAAATGGAACACAACCACTATTCTTTAAATACAATTCTGGAAAAAATATAGGGAGAAATCATGTAGCTGTGAATTCTGTCAGCCCTGATCACTGATATTTGCCTGGTTCATTTCTACCTCATCTTGGAGGGTGAGGTTCTGACTGTCTGCAACTACAAACAGAAATTTGAAGGCTGGGGGGCAGGCGTGGAAAATTGAGGGACATACACATGTTAAAAACATTTTTTCACAAAGTCTTTTATGCAGAAAAATGGGGGAAAGACCTGAAAAAATAAATTATGGAATATTTTTTAGAAGGATGAATAAAATGTTTCAGACAAGGTGTTCATTTATTTATTGACCACAAATCATTTATAAAAACAATGTAAGAGAAAGATTTTTATGCAAGTGTGTACAGTATCAAATCATAACAGTTCCTGGCATCCTTTTTTCAGTTTTTTTCTTAAAATAGAAATAAGTGTGTTAAGTTTGCCTGCCACTATGGAGAGCTAATGGAGAATTAATATTGTCTGTTTTACTAATGTTATTGTTGTGTGGGGTTTTGTTTTTTAATATTTTTGGCCTGTTCCTTACACTGGCAAAACCAAATCAGTTTCTCATAGTTGAGGTGTTCCTTACAGTTCAAATGCTAGTAGCTCCACTTGTGGCAAAAAGTAAAATTTTATGAGTTGTTTTTAATTACCATATATACTTGTGTATAAGTCGGCTTAATATATAACTCAAGAGCAAGATTTGGGGCCAAAATTATGGACTTTGATATGACCTGTGGCTAAGTAAAGGGTAAGACTTAGAAGCATGTAACAAAGGATGTAAAGAGTGAAGCAACGAAAAAATATGGCAAAGAATGTACAAAGTTCCAGCAGCCATAACTGTTTGTGCTTACCCTAAAGGTTAAATGGATAAGGAAGGAACTATGGTAAAGGATGGCTGTGCTATATGTGGGGGAGAAGACCAGGCACAGGTGGGGCTAAGAAAATGTGCACATGTCAAAAGGGATGTAAAGGCAAGAGTTAAGATAAAGCATTAACTCTTATCCAAACTAATCATCCCGTCCTCTGAGTAAAATGATGAAGGATGAGAGCTTAGTCTGTCCTGGGAGAACCTAAAAGACATTATCACCCACCTCTACTCTCTCATTACTTCTTTGAGGAGAAGCACCACAGAACCACCACCACCAATTTCCCACCCAGACATTCAAAAAGGCCAGAAGCAGTGCCATGGCAGAGAAAGGAGAGGGGGATTAGTGCTTCTTTTAGGTTCTCCCAGGATGGACAAAGTTCTCACCTTTTGCCACAATACTAAGAGAAAGACATTGTTATTTTATTGTAAGAGTTAAGGTACAGTGCTTTCATTGATCCATGGATAAGTCAATTTTTGAGTAATACACTTTGACTAATACTAGACACATACATGAATATATACAGTATATGGTGAATAAGCTGGACTCGTATATTAAGCATAATAATTTTAGGACAAAGTTACATAAAACAAATTGTTTGATTCTAAAGTAACAAAATGACTTTCAAACTCTAAACTTATGGGAAGTCAATACTGCATGCTTTCAATTTTTCCAAACAACTGTTTTGTTTTTGGCTTCCCATGGCATCACAATTTCTGGCTGAAAAGGCTTTTGTTCCAAAAAGTTCTTACAGACCAGGTCAGATATTGCTGGTGGGGAAAAAAAATTGTATCTTGGACAAGATGAAATTTTTGCTGCTCTGGGCTTTGGCATGCCATTTGCATGCCCCCAACCTCAGCAAGGTTTGAACACTTGCCTACGGCTTCCCAACCCTAAAGAACACACTGCTGTGGAAGTGAGGGCACTACAGTACCACTGTGTGCTCTCCCAAGCATTTGTTGTGATGCTATTATAAAACCTACAGGCTACTGGACCAGCAGAACAAGAACTACCATATTTTCCAGCATATAAGACAACTTGGCGTATAAGACAACCCCAACTTTTCCAGTTAAAATATAGAGTTTGGGATATACTTGCCATAGAAGACGACCCCTCTTCCAACGTACACCAAATAAAAATTAAAAAAAATCAGATTTGATTTCA